CAATGGAGTTATTGTTTTGTGGTCCGAAACAATTGTCTCCAAATCGTGCAACGGCACGGATTTGATAGAGGCAAGTTAGAGACGGATTTTCGTGGGAAAAGTAACTCCTTTCTGATCCCAAAAGTTTGACAGATTTCACAAAGCATTCGAGGCTTCAGTGATCCCGATATTTAACTCGGCTGGAAGTGTTGAACCGAAGTATTTAAATTCGCCAGCTTCCTGAATTGCTTCAAATACCTCTTCCACTTGTAGAGTAGCTGTGTTGTGTGGGTTCCTTATAACTTTTCACTTCCGGGCGTCACGAAAAAGACTGGCTCTCGTAGCTGCGTTCCATACGTAAGCTGTCAGGGGACAGAGCGCGCTTTTCGAGGCACTAACCTGGTCAACGTTATATGATGCCAGGTCAGCGGGATATTTAGTGGGTGTGTTGAAATGAGCCTTTCCTCTTGAATGAGACCGTCTTTGCCAGCGTCAACGTTGCTAAAGGGAAGAAAGTCGAGAATAACTTTAAATAACAAAGGCGAAGATATGTCTACCTGGAGAACTTCACAGATAATAGAACAACTTTCAAGTAGACCTCCTTCATGTTTGACAGCAGACGTGATTCTTGTCATGTTAATGAGAAAAACTAGGTTCCAAAAGAGAGAAAACAACCCGTGGGAAGATTCCTAGATCTATGAGTTGATGAACTGAAGAGGTTCATTGATGAAGATGGATAAAGATTGCCAAAGTTTATGATAAAGCCTTGGAGCCGACTTCATCGAAAATTGCTAATGATGGTTTAGTTTGATTCTATGGTCAGAAGCAGACAGATGTTCTGCTTGATCGCCGCTGAGTCATCAGGTGTAACAGATTCCATAAACTTCTGACAATCAGCACTTATGATCTACACGTGCATGTGTGCAAGAGGCATTACTGAGGAGGTGGATATGTGCCTAGCAGGACAGAGGTAATTTGCACCTCCCAAAATAACATGGAGGGAAGTACTTGCAAAGTTGCTTCAGTCGAATACTTCCAAATGTCTGACAATCTTTTCATGAGGCCTCCCAGCTCAGGCAATTTTGATACTCCAACGTCAAAAAAATAGACTACATTTCACTGACACATTTTTGACCAGTGAATTTCTGTCCACACATGAAGTGCATGCAAATGCATGACCACCAGTGCAAGAAAACCAATGACGTCAGCTGATGGTGAACCAAACAACAATTCTATAAACGACGAGTCTTTTCCATCGATCGGACGATCAATTACATAATGACTAATTATCTAAATAGCTGAAAGGCCGTCATAAATCATCGATTGTTTTTCGACTATTGTTGTCTGGCGGAAGTACTATTATTCATTAGTTTCTGCCACTTTCCTGAATTTCATGTAAGCACGTTAAAACTTGAGGTTGCTTCATCTGAGGTAAATATTATTGAGATCTTGTCATCGTTTGGTGAAGAAAAGGACCGCATGATGAACTCCAAACCTGTCGATATTCCTCATGGGATATACGATATTTTAGGTTTTTAAGACGAATTGATTTGCCTTTATATGGTGTTAAACCGAAGCTCAAACTAGGGTACGCGAAGTGAAAAAAACCTGCTTTTGGATGTCGGTGCTTCAAGTCCCCCTCAAAACCGTAATAGGTAGATACCAGGTTTTAGTTAACATGTATTGGATGACCAAATAAAAAATATTATGCCTCAGCCGACGGACAGTGTAGTTTTGACTACAAGGGATTGAAATATGTCAACATGTGTTAACTTATAATAATATGGTTCAGACGAGGGTAAGTGATAATATGTGCTGTTTGGCGAGGACAGCTTATTGTTTCCGACGTTAATCTGAGACGCCTCAGTTCTTGGAGTCAAAATAAAGACATCATGTGATATAGCAAACTTATCGTTCTAGGTGAGCAGCTAGCCCACGACCTGAAGATCATAAGATACACGCGCTATGGTGACGAAGGGTTTGCGAAGTTCTAAAGTACCATTATAAAAGCATAACTGTTTTTGGGCATCACACGATGATGTGAGCTTCATGGAAGTGAAAGCGACGAAGGAAGACTTTATTATGACAAAGAATAGATTGCATGGCAGAGCAAAACGCTGAGGACGGAAATTAAGATGGTTTTGAACTCTGTGTAACGCTGGCTCGGAACCACTGACCACTTTCGTCGTGCGACTTGACAGACGCCTTTCTTTCGCTAAAGCCGATCTTTACTGCCTAATTTCGATGCCCCCTCGCATGCCCAGTGCAATTTGTGGCCACAATTCAGGCCATGCCTCACCCTGGGGCCTTATAATCAGATTTAGATAGCCTTCTCATCTGAAGTGAGGTCTTCCGATTGAACGCTTTGAGTCCCTTGCATGCCAGTTGGTCACTGTTGAAATTCATTCGTCGTCCATCCGTTGCGCACGGTGATGACCTGTCCACTGTGCTTTCGTTTATTTTGAAACCGATTCAGCAGCCTTCATTCTCGTGCGTCTTCGTATTTCTTAATTTCTCAGCTTTTCCCTGATGCAAATTGATAGCTTCCATCTTTACATAGTAGCTTGCTACTACGCTTTTGACAATTCTGCAGTCTTCTTAATGTTAATGATCAGGTTAGTAACCACGGAAAGCTGCTATGCAACGTGGTTCCAATGGCGATCTGACGTCTTCTAGCAGGTTCTACACAAAGGAGTAGTCCAAGGAGAGTAGCTCTCAAAATTGCACATATACACGCGGCATCTTTTTCGACTTGGCAGCTACTTATGATCATTTAGCTGGTTGTACGTATTTGTTTCTGGTAATCTTTGCACACCGTGTCTTTCGAGGTAAGTCACTTGCTCCACAACTCCATTTCACATGGCATGAGTTCAATTTCTGTTTTGTTCCTCCCAGCAGGAAGAGGTCGTCAGCAATAAGTAGCCATTTGTCGTTGATTAAACATCGACAATTTATTTTTTGCCAAATATTGAATTATGATATGTAGTCAACAGCTTAGGCGATATGGTGTCGTCTAGACGAACTCGACTAAAAATCATGGTTTCAAAAGGATCCTGAACCAACTGAAACTTCGTCGTTCAGCTTGAGTATACATCACATGCAATTCGGATATATTTTTCTTCATTTTTCCTCTTTCAACGTAAGCAAGACTGCCACATGCTCCTCCTGTCAATCGCCTGTTGATTTCTTTCATATGAGGGTCAAATGTTTGTCCTTTTTGCGTCATTTTTGACATTTTAGTCAGCTACCTCACGCTTACGGCTTACACGTCTGCTTTGCGGCAGAGTTTTCGAACTTGCCGTGTAGCATACTGTAGTGAGGTGAAGCTTTAGCAAATTTAGGAGATAAAACATAATAATTTTAGTAAACAAGAATCTTACTGAGAAACGTGAACTTCGTCCCTGATGCATATTTCATGCTCTTCAGCGTTTCGCTCATCAAATGGTTGTCAAGTTCTTCGAGCTCCTCGTCCAACCTTTTGTTTGGAACGTCAGAAAATGAACTCGTCTGAGCCATCAGTTTCTGAAAACAGTGGCCTTAGACCGCTTTCGTATACCTGCGACACAGTGAATGAAACAGACGGAAAATAAATCGATGTTCGACTCTATATTAAAGCTCTACGTTACCACTAAACGGTCCGATCGATATAATAGAGTATAAAGGTATAGCGGGCAATTCTCAACGGTCAGCACGAGAAAAGTTACGAGGAAACAGATGTACAAAATTTAGATCATAAACAGGATGCATGTACGCTAGGAGTGACTATTAATAAAAGTTATGGGAAGCGACGTTGAATGAGTTCATTGAATGTTCTGACAGTACGTGAGAACATGCACTGAGTCATCTGTAGTGTGAGTCTCACTGAGACGCTTCTTGTAACGGCTTTGACGGGGCCAAAGCTGAAGTGCAAATCAGTCACGGTCCATCGTGCAGAATCCGGCTCATCACTGATGCTGCGTGGGAAGGAACTTTGCTTGCTTCTCAGACCCCGTACTAAGTTCGTGGTGTGAGGAAAAGAGGCCATCTAAACCTGGAACGTCGGGCGGTCTCAAATCACTAAGCATGCAATTTCGGGCGGCACGGTGCCACCTGGAAAAATGTTCCTGAACATCATATGTAATTCTGTTCCAGACTCGCTGCCACGTCTGAACAAAGTCGTCCAGAAGAGTTGCAGGGCGTTGTTGTGACGGTGGTTAGTAGGCAGTGCTAAGTTAAGGAACTGAACAGTGCTGAATGACGTGGCTGTTCGCAGCCCGGCTGCAAACAGTGATTGAATGAATGGATGATGCTGGTACCGAAATCTCTGCGTTTGATTTCGCCATAGCATTGCATTCTGTACTCGTACTCGGCTTGCCTCAGAAGGTCATTGATTATTGCCTCAGTATTTCTATCATCAACGGTATTCATGAATGAATGAGGAAAAAATGGTTTTTTCATTCTCAGCATACGGCAGTACAGTATATCTGTTAAACACATAACATAACAATGAAAGAAAATCAATGACTTGAAGACTGCAACTGCAGGCTTTGTACAATAATACATGTCTGCTCTTCCGGACTTCTTCAGAGGATCTGTTAGACAGGAAGTCTAGGACTATTGATCTGGAATAAAATTACGGCAGGCGCTGAAATGGCGCTGACATTGCATTGCTTATTGTATCTGAACGTTTTAATTTCACCTATAAGATGTGACTGTCACCCGTCAATTAGGAATAAGCTGTTTCATGTCTTGAATCAGACGAATCATATTTTTGCCAGGCCAGCACACAGAAACTTCCATGGCTTAGTCGCTGTCCTTCTCTGTCTTCGTAGGTCCAGTATTATGAAATTTTATGGGAATCTACCCACTGCAATTCATAATGGCTCACGTGTGCAAAGACCGCTGGTGGGACAATGGAAGAAAACAGAAATCACAATCAACAATTTCCCCATGCCACAAACGATAATGGTACATAGTTTTCGGTGATTACTGAGATCGGAAGAGAACGAGGATTAATTCTTAGGTTCATCGTTGGCAGATTTGAAAGCCTTCTACGATGTCAACAAAATTTTCGACATACAGTAAACTGAACCACCATGACCTCATTCTTAA